CCTTTATTAGGCAAGAGTCACAGCCCAGAGTGGTTTTGGATCATTTCCCAGAGATTTTAGAGAGCTTCCCATTTAAATGGGGTCCATTACCCTTCAGGTTTGAAAACATGTGGCTAAAGGATCAATCATTTAAGAAAATTTTTGGGGTTGGTAGGAAAGTTGTAGATGTCATGGGTGGGAGGGGTTTAGATTAATGAGAAAATTAAGAGGGATTAAGGAGAAACTGAAAGTGTGGGAGCAAGAGGTCTTTGGTGATCTGTCAGAAGCAAAAGTTGAGATAGTTAAAGAGCATTGATGAGATAGATGCAAAGGAGATAAGGAAGGGCTTGTCAAGAGAGATGAGGGTGGAAAGGGAACATGTTAAAAATGAGATTAGAAGAGATTGTTTTCAGGGAATAGATTTTTTGGGAGCAAAGGGCAAAGTTAAAATGAGCAAAGGAAGACAATATTAATTCCAAATTCTTCCACAAAGTTGGGTCGGGGAAGAGGAAGAAGAATTTCATTAAGAATTTGGAGGTTGAGCAAGAGGTGGTGGTGAATAAGGAGGAGCAAGTTGTTAATGAGATTTTCAAGTTTTACTCGAATTTGGACTTTAACGGCGGAGTGGAGCGACCAGGGATTAAAGGTATTGATTGGAAGCCAGTGGAAGATTCTAAAGCTAGATGGCTAGAGAGGCCCTTCGATGAGAGTGAGGTTCAACATGTCGTTTTGAATGCGATAGAGATAAGGCTCCTGGCCCGGATGGTTTTTCTATGGCGGTCTTACAAGATTGTTGGGATGTAGTGAAAGCGGATCTAATGGGAGTGTTTGGTGAATTCTTTGAAAATGGAGTGGTTAATTTATGCACCAACGCATCGTTCATTTGTCTTATTCCTAAAAGATAGAAGTCGGTTAAGATTGGGAATTTTAGACCCATTAGTTGGTCACATCTCTTTATAAGATTTTGGGAAAGTTGCTTTCAAAGAGGTTTAGGGCTGTCCTGGGAGTGACAATATCTATGACACAAAATGCCTTTGTGCATGGACAGTAGATTTTGGATGTGGCTCTAGTGGCCAATGGGGTGGTGGAAGAGTATAGAAGATTGCATAAGGAGGGAATCATTTTCAGGTGGATTTTGAGAAAGCTTACGATCATGTGGATTGGTCTTTCTTGGATTTTGTTATGCAAACAAAGGGCTTTGGGGACAGATGGAGGAAGTGGATTTGGGGGTGTGTATCAATGTGCAACTTGTCACTCATTGTGAATGGGAAACTAGGGAGATCCTTTTTGGCATCCAGGAGATTAAGGCAAGGCGATCCATTGTCCCCTTTCCTATTCATCATTTTGGTAGTGGATGCGTTGGGAAGATTGATTGATAGGGCCATGGAAAAGGGTGTGATTGAAGGATTTGTGGTGGTTAGGGATAAGATTAATGTCACTCATTTACAATTTGCTAATGATACTATCTTAATTAAAAGAGGAAAGTAAAGTTGGCAATCGTTTAGCACTTTTGAGAGTCTTTGAAATTGTGTTGGGTCTTAAAGTCAATCTTCATAAGAGCTGTGTCACATGGACTCGGCACTTTGGGGCGAAGTACCCATGTCGACACGACAGGACACGGGTGCGGGTGTGGGATTTGTGTCAGATTCGCCTATTCTCTCTCGGACACGGCTCTTTACAATGCAAAAGAAATGAAAGAGGTGAGAGCAAGAGAGAACCTGGTCAAAGCTCCATCCAGTCGAAGATCGAAGACCTCGATTGAGCTCCATCCTTTCGATCCAGTCGAAGATCGAAGCTCCATCAGTCGATCGAACAGCCGAACACCCGGGCAACTTCGAAAAGCCTCTCTCTCTCTCTCTCTCTCTCCCTCGCGATCGCGATCGATGGCTTCGCTTTTCTCTCCCTCTGTCTCTGTCGTTCGTCTGTCTGTTGATTCATATCTCTATTCGTATCTATCTATATATAATAATAATAGTTTATATATAATAATAATAATAATAGTTAAGTAACTGAATAATAAATAATGGCAACTTCGAAAAGCCTCTCTCTCTCTCTCTCTCTCTCCCTCGCGATCGCGATCGATGGCTTCGCTTTTCTCTCCCTCTGTCTCTGTCGTTCGTCTGTCTGTTGATTCATATCTCTATTCGTATCTATCTATATATAATAGTAATAGTTTATATATAATAATAATAATAGTTAAGTAACTGAATAATAAATAATAATAACTATTATTATGATAACTATAATAATAACTATTATTATTATATATTACATAATAATTATTATATAACATATAATATATTTATAAGATAATATATACTTATATATATTAATAAAAAAAATAAAAATAAATAAAAAAAATTAATTGAAACACATTATTTAAAAAATAGAATAAATAAATAAAATAATTAATGTACATTAAAATAAAAATATTTATAAAAAAATTAAAAAATTTGCCGTGTCTCCTGTCGTGTCCGTATTCCCATTTTTCAAAAATTGTCATGTCCTGTGTCCGCGTTATAATAAATATATATTTTTAAAAAAACCTATTTAACGTATCCCCGTACCCGTATTCAAATTTGGATACATATCCACGTATCCTTAATTTTTAATTTTGAAGTGTCCGACCTCCAGATACGCACCCGCACCCGTACCCGAGTCCGTGTAACTTAGCATAAGAGTAATGTTGTCGGCATTAATCCGGAGCATAGTTAGGTGCAAAGGATGGCAGTCATTGTAGGTTGTTCCATAGAAAAGTTCCCTCTCAAGTATTTAGGGCTACCGTTGGGCTGAGATCCTAGGTCGGAGGTGTTTTAGAATCTTGTTCTTGTTAAGATTGGTAAGAGGTTGGAGGGATGGAAGAGAGCCTTGTTATCTAATGGGGGAGGTACACTATATCCACGTATCCTTAATTTTTAATTTTGAAGTGTCAGACCCCTAGATACGCACCCGCACCCGAGTCCGTGTAACTTAGTATAAGAGTAATGTTGTCGGCATTAATCCGGAGCATAGTTAGGTGCAAAGGATGGCAGTCATTCTAGGTTGTTCCATAGAAAAGTTCCCTCTCAAGTATTTAGGGCTACCGTTGGGCTGAGATCCTAGGTCGGAGGTGTTTTAGAATCTTGTTCTTGTTAAGATTGGTAAGAGGTTGGAGGGATGGAAGAGAGCCTTGTTATCTAATGGGGGAGGTACACTTTGGTGCAGTCCATGTTGAGTTGCATTCTTGTGTATTCTTTGTCTTTGTTCAAAATTCCGGTTAGGATTGCCAAAAATATTGAAAAACTAATGAGGGATTTTTTCTGGTAAGGATATGATGAGGGGAAGAGTGATCACCTAGCCAAGTGGGAGGTTGTTTATCTTCCTAGAAATATAGGGGGCCTTGCTATTGGGAACATTGTGGCAAGAAACATTGCTCTCTTGAGCAAGTGGTTATGGAGGTTTCCCGTCGAAAGTGAATCATTATGGCATTCCATTGGAAATCCATCTCTCGTGTGTTTCTGTTTATGTCTAGATTCCTTTATTTGAAAGTGGGTAACGGGGAAAGCGCCCGTTTTTTAGAGGATGTTTGGGTGGGGGATTCTTCTTTTGATAGAGCTTTTCCACTTCTTTATAGAGTGGTCTGACCTCGGAAGGTTTCAATTGCATTGGTGGCATGCTCTAATTTGGCACCAATCTTATGGAACTTTACTTCATCAAAAATCTAAGTGATAGGGAATCTCGAGTTGGTACTTTGTTGTCATTTCTTGAGGGGGTTTCTTTGTCTCCTTCCACTTGTGATAAGAGGGTTTGGAATATCAATTCTTTTGGGGTCTTCTCATGCAAATCCTTTTTTGATAAAAATCATTGATGTGCCCTCCGTTCCTTTGTTTCCATTTCGTTAGTAAATTTGGAAGGCTGTTCTACCTCATAAAGTGAAGTTTTTGATTTGGTCCTTGGCCCAATGAAGCATTATGACCAATGCTCTCTTCCAAAGGAGAAGACCTAATCACTCCCTTTGTGCACAATGTGTAGGAGGAATGTGGAATCGGCGAACCACTTATTTCTTCACTATCCATTGGCTCTCTCTTTATGGAAGTGCCTTTTTGGGCTTTGTGATTTACAGTCGGTATCTCCAAGGGTCTGCACGCACATGCTTTTAATTAATTTTGGCAGTTTTGGTGGCAATAGGAAAGCCAAGTCATTGTGGTCTTGCAGTGTAGTTGCCATTTTCTGGACCATTTGGTTGGAGAGGAATGTACGAATTTTCGAAGACGAGGAGCGGATGAGGATTTATTGTGGGAGAAGGCATGTCACTTAGCCTCATTTTGGGCTTATGTGTCTCCCCCATGCAAAGGGATCCCCTTTTTTTGGTTTGCAAAGACTGGGGAGCCGTTTGTCAGTCCTAGTCTTGGGGATGTTTACCTGCTGGTTTTATTAGTTAGTTTTTGTATTTTTTTGAGTGTGTGTGTGTTGTATTCCTCATTGTATGAGGACATCTTCTTCTCTCTTTGTTATCGCTTTTTTATTCAATGAAGTATCTTCTTGTTGCTGCTAAAAAAAAAAAAATAGAAAATAAGAAAAAAGAGATGCAACTAAATTATAGGCTTCATGTTTCATTATTATCATAGTTGACTATCGCTGTTAATGCAAAATTTTTAACTCATTTTTAGCAATCTGTTAGAGCTGTGGAGGATACTATTGTCATCATTTCATTTAGTATGGATAATTAGGGAGCTTTTATTTCCACACACCATATTATCTTAGTTCACACACTTAATTTCCGAATTTTTTATTTGAAAGTTGATTTATGAACAAAACTCATTTGTCTGTTTGGAAATCTACTTCCGAACCAAATATTGCACTGAGAGGAAGCTATATGCGGAAATAGAAGCTCCCATAATTCTATCCTAAAATTGTTACATTCGTAGAAAACTTTTACACTGGTATAGATTAATGTATAATATCTGAAAGATTTGCAACTTAAATGACTAATGTACATTGATCAAATTTTGAGGTTAATACTTTTGACTTTGTAAATGCAGGCTTAAGCAACAAATCTTAATGAGAAAGATTGATTTATGGGTTGTTATTAATGAAGATAACAAGAGGTCACTTTGTGAAAAGCCCAGTTGCATTTGTTTGTATAGTTGCTTCTGTTTGTTGCCTCCTGGTTGTGATAATTTCAGTACTTAAGCTTCCAGATATATCAGTGGCAGATAGTACATTAACTTCTTTTCGGCATAAGAAAATAAAACGGGCTTTGGGTTATGAAAAGGCAGGTCAATTTGGTAAGATGATTATTGAAATGCTGCCTGAAGATCTTGCATTTACAGTCTTTGTTCCTTCAGAGAGAGCTTTTGAGCGTGACTTGAGGCTACGTTTGAATGATAGTTTAACGGGTGAGAAGTTCAATGACACACATGCAATACTTACTCGCATATTGGGTTTTTCAGCTGTGCCTAGGATGATCTCTTCAGTTTCGGTACCATTTGGTGAGGAGATTAGTTATGATTCATTATCTGGATTCAGTTTATACATATCGAAGGACTTGGATGGAATGTTGATAGTTAACAGAGTTAGGACCCAGCATGTAGATCTCAGGAAGGGGATGATCGTTGTACATATCATGGATGGGGTAATCATGGATGCGGAGTTTGAACAATCAGTTCAGCCTGACTACACTGAAAACGATTGAATGAAAATGACATGTCAAGCCCTGCTAACTTCAGACTTCATTTAGAACTGCAGTTAAAAGTTTTTGTTTCATGTGTTGTGTATTTTAGCTTTCCTGTCTCTAGAGCAGTGATGTGGTATCACAAATATTTTGGTTTTGAACCAACAGGCTTTGACAACCTCAATTAATTCAAGGGATGAGGTTGTGAATGAGTCCAAAATCATCGTAATGTAGTTCATATTTGTTCAAGGAAATAACAATACAACAATACCAGTGAAAAAGTAATAAAACAATTTGATATTTCTTGTGCTGAAAGCGTATTCTGAGTTGAAGTTGGATCATGGATGATTCTGTAAAATGATAAAGCAATCATCTTGTGGTTCAGGCTAATCATATATATACATGTTTTTGAATGTATCTTAAATCATAAACTGGAATACAAGGACTGATCTTTCATTTTGTCACCTGTCGTAGATTGATTACTGTGGTGTAGTCCTGCTTTCACATGCAAGAAAGCTAGGTAGCATTTGGTTTACATTTCAAATCATGATTTTGTTTTTAAATTATGATTTAGATAAAACATATTTATTAAACATGTTTATGAACTATAATTCAAAATTACTTTCAAAACTCCTCTCTCTTTTTTATTCTTATTTTTTATTAATCAATTAATTAATCACTTTTTCTCTTTCATCTTTGCTCTCTCCTTTCACATTTTCTCATATTATACATATTGATCAATCAAAAAAAAAAAAAAAAAATTACAAATCATCTCAAAATTATTTTCAAAATTCATAATGAAACAGATTTCAACTTTTAAAACTCATTTAACAACTCATCTTTCAAAATATAACTTAACACTTAAATCTCAATTCAAAAATTAAATCAAACGGATCCAATTTCAGCTTCCCTACTGTGGATGAATGTAGTTGAAGCTTCTATAGCACAATTTTAGGCTTTAATTACTTTGGCAAGTAAGTCAATAACAAAAATAAAAAATTGAATAGATTATGATAATGAAACACATTATTCATATGATTAATGATTTATTCATTGAATTTGTTCAGTCCGAATTTGTCTGAATGAGACTCTTCCCGTGAAGAGTCTCCCACAAGTTTCCAAACGGGAATTTTTACCCGGAAGAGTCTCATTTGGACGAATTTAGGCTAAACAAATTCGGTGAATGTAGCAGTCCTCTATTCATATAGTAATTTTGTACCTTTCCACAATTCATTGATTATAGAGCTCAGTTTGGGCATGTCAAAAGAATAAAGAAAAGGGGAACATTTCAAGGTATTCCATGTATCATCCGTCCCCAAATTTTTTTGAACATATAGAGAGAGCCCTTTGAAAAAAGACCAAGTTAGTTTATTTGTGCTAATTTTAGTTTACCTTCAACTATAATATTTAAGTTACTTCTATAACTAGCAATTTGCAGATTCAACACACAAATCTCAGAAGGAAAGAAAATAAATAAAAAGAGCAACTTTTTGCTAAAGCGGTGTTTGGGGAAGGCTGAACACACGAATCAGAATCTAAAATTACATTTTTATAAAAGAGAATGCTAATACGATACGTACACTACGGCTCTTTAGTCATGCAATTGTCGCCCAAGAGATAAGCCTATATGGCATCACATTTTCAAAATTTCCCAAGGGATGTAGCTAACTCAATCTGGAAGGCTCATATAAGGAACATATAGTATAAGCTTAAGCCCCAACTCATGATTCATTTACATTAACATAAGCTTCTTTTGTTTTTTTTTGAACAAATAAAAGCAATAACGCATTATAACCCAAAAAAAGGTTTTGAAAAATCTAAAAATTCTTGAGATATTGATTTGTGATTATGTTTTAATTTTTGAACAATAAATAATAATCTCAATCAAACAATCAAAGACAAATCGACACAACGATTTAACGTGGAAACCCACAATTGGAGCGCCTCCAATTGTAATAAAAAAATCACGAGTCAAAGCCATAAAACAATCCATAAGTGTACCCTCAATTACTTAGCGAATTCACACTCGAATTGAACCAATGTGCCTCTTCCACCACCGTCTTTGTACGGGGGCGAAATATCCTCCGCTTTCCGTACTCCTTGTACTCTGAGCTTCTCTTGACGGCGTCTACCTGGCAACACAGAAACGGTGAGCTGCCCGGCGGTGGTGTGCCGGATAGACCCTCCGACGATCAAGTCAGTTCACTTGAGGAAGAGGAGGAAGACTGAGAGAGAGAGTGTGTTCTTTTTTTGGGAAGAAGTTGCATACCTCTAACGTTCGCCCTCCTCCCTATTTCAAGGCTGGCCATGCAGCCTCAAGATTATGCGCGCACTACCTCTGTTGTCCTTCCCAAGACAGGTGGCAGTACTCGCCTCTCACCACCTTACGCGTGTAAAGGCTTAGTCCTCCCAACAGTACACGCAGAACTGCCTAACGGTATTGATGCATATGTGGAGCAGATGTCCCTTCCTTCGTGCCATTGGCCCAGGTGGCACACCTGACCGCAGTACCACGACCGGCCTATTTCCCAAGAAGAACTATCGCTACAGGCGCTCAACCGCGATATGTCCTACCGGACTGCCCCTTGGCAAAGGGGCGGTGGGGGGGACGCCCATGGACCGGGCTGGAGTTGACCGGTTCGTCGTGGCATACCGGTCGCGAGGCATGACGGCCCCCGCCCGTTCCACCTTCATCCGAGGTTATATTGAATCTTCCCATCTCAGCTCGCCGGTCAGAGACGCGTCATCCCTCCCTTGTCCACAGTTTAGCCTGAGCTATCCGTAGCTCGGTCTCGCCTCTTAGCTGTGCGCAACGCCGAATGTTTGCTAGCCGCAGCTCGGCCAGGCTCGGTTTCCGCCCGGTCAGCCGATCCTCGAGACCGAGCAAAACAGACCCGTCCAATCCCTGCTCGGCCGTACTAACGGCGCAAATCTCCCCTCTCAGTCTTCACCTTGGAATTGTCTTACCCAACGTTGAATCCACAACGCTGATGTCGAATCCACGACGATGAACCACTTTGGAATCCATCAAAGTTTCATGCCCAAGTTCCTCAAAATCCACTTAAGAACAACTCTCTATTTTGTAAATAAAAAAAAACAAATAAACCCCTTGATCATATTGATATAAAGTTCACAGATCCATTAATCACTCTTGAATTATTAAGGAAACACTCATAAAAGCACCCTCCAATAGGAAACACTTTATTTTTTCTTCTTCTCTGAAAATCTGGACGGCTTAAATCCTAGAAATAGCAAACTGCGCACTTTATAGTAAACTAAATCACGAAGACCACTAAAGCTCACATTTTATCACTCAAGCGGTGTGACTAAAGGCGGTACGAAACATATAGGCTAACCACTTGAGCACAACTTGTACCGCTTGAGCGGTGAAACTTTCTTTCCAGAAGTTTATGCACTCTGCAAAAGTATTGGATGATATCATTCGCCGCTCGAGCGGAGCGCACAAATGACTGCTCGAACGGTCAAGCCACTTTGGCTTCGGGGGCACTGCCCCTCGACCTTGCCTAGGCACTGCCCTGAACCTGCTATTTGGCGCTACCCCCTAAACTCCCGCGAGCTGACCAGGCAGCTCGATCCTCGTACTTAGTCAGCGAAGTGGCAAACATGAAAGTTTCAAGATCACAAACTCCTTTGCACACAATTCAGGTTGGACTCGCATTTAAACATTCATAGCCTCACTGAAATAAAAAGAGCGAATAAAACTATAATTGAAATGAGTTTTGTTAAACAAGATTACCAATTACAAAAACCTAACAGGTTTATCTAAATCTAGGTGGGTGAAGAGAAAGAGACCAATCCGTATTTAGAGAGCCACTCATGTGGGCTCTAGCCACCTAACGCTCTGGTTTGTTTAGTTTTCTTGGACTCCAGCTGAAGTTGACTGCAAGTCATTGTCTAAGGTCCCTTACATCTTGAAAAATTGTCTTGCTTTCCCAAGGCATTATTGTCTCAGACCCACACAAATGAATCATTGCCTGGTTATCATTTTCTATGGTTTTCGGGATGAGGTTGAGGGCATTAGCAAAATAGCATGCTTTCTGAACATCAGTTGCTTCACCTTGCATAATTGAGGAAGATGAAATTGTTTGGGCACAACCTTCTACTAACTTCGCTTTCCAGTTTCTAGCAATAATTACAATAGATGCTTTGGATTTGTCATGAGTGAAGGCCACATCACAATTGATCTTGAAACAACCATTTATACTGTGTTTGATTGGAGGATTTGAGGAGAGATTTGGAAAGGGAAAAGGAAAGGGAAAATGTAGATAAAATGTGAATAAAATATACCTACATTTCACCTAGTTTTACATACCTTTTCTTTTTTTCATTTCCCTTTCCAAATCCTTCCCAAAATCCCTTATTCAAACGCAGTGTTAGAGAGGGAACCCAAGTTGTAGGAGCATGATTGGGAGTCTTGTTGGTGTCCTCTGTAGTTGAAGTGAGACTTGAGTCTAGGGGTGTAAATCTAGCTCAGCTTGGCCCACCTGGGCCCAACTCATGTCGGGCCTCGCGGGCTCTCTCTAAAATTCAAGCTGGGCCGGGTCGCATGGCAAAAAATTAGGCCCGGGCCTAGGGGTATTCGGGCCTTGGGCTTGGGCCAAGCTTAGGTGGGCCTAACCATATTTTTTTTGTTTTTTTAAATTTTTTCTATCAAAATTTTATTATTTTTCACTAAAAAGGACATTGGGCCCAGGGCAGGCCGGGCTTCGGGCCGAGTCCACGGTCCGGGGACGAGCTTCAAAATGATGGCCCAGGCCCAGGGGTTCGGACTAGGCTATGCTCGGGCCCGGGCCCAAACTGGCCGAGCCCACCATAGGCCGTCCGCGGGCTTCAGGCCGCCCACGGGCCGCAGGCCATTTTTACACTCCCACTTGAGTTAGAAGAAACTTTACTTGGGTAGCATAATATTTAAGTTACTTCTATAACTAGCAATTTGCAGATTCAACACACAAATCTCAGAAGGAAAGAAAATAAATAAAAAGAGCAACTTTTTGCTAAAGCGGTGTTTGGGGAAGGCTGAACACACGAATCAGAATCTAAAATTACATTTTTATAAAAGAGAATGCTAATACGATACGTACACTATGGCTCTTTAGTCCTGCAATTGTCGCCCAAGAGATAAGCCTATATGGCATCACATTTTCAAAATTTCCCAAGGGATGTAGCTAACTCAATCTGGAAGGCTCATATAAGCAACATATAGTATAAGCTTAAGCCCCAACTCATGATTCATTTACATTAACATAAGCTTCTTTTGTTTTTTTTGAACAAATAAAAGCAATAAAGCATTACAA